CAAGAGTCGGCCGTCATGTTGATATCATCCATTGAGAGAAGAGAAAGACGATGCTAATCGAGACTCGGGCATTGATGTTATGGCAGTAAATATTGGTCGTCATGTTAAGAGGGTGTTTATCGTCGAATGTGAGAGAGTGCTTGGTCGTCGCATGTTGAGAGACGCTGGAGCAAAGATGATATGTCAATTTGTGGGTGTAAGAATGCATAGCATCGCAGCATCAATATAAAAACAACATCTGAACTTTGATATGGAGATCGTTTGGAAATGTTGAATGTTGAGATAACGTAACGCCAGAGCGTCGATTTGAGAATGATATCAGGACATTGTTTGCGAAAATCAAGTTGTAACCACGCCAAAGAGATATAAAATGAAAATATTCGATGGAATGGGTATCAAGTGCGGACTGATTGATTTGATATTCGGATAATGGAATAAAAACTATTTTTATATTTTAAAATAAGTAAAATTTTAATACAAGCAATTAAATATTTAAAAAAAATCATAAAAATATTTAGGATAAGTGTGTCGGACACATGTGTCCAATTTATATTTATTATATATTTTTTAATTGGACAACGTTTTCCGGCGTGTCTGACACTGTCGGAGCCGGACGTGTCGTGTCGGATATGTGTTGGACATGCTACGCCTCCTTGAGGAGAAGGTCGTGGCATCATATGGATATAAGCATCACCACTATCCACTCATTTGGGAAGCGCTTTAATGAATGCCGCCTTCACCCCCTCTTAATGCTGAGTGCCTACAAATGGATATTCAAATTCATATATTTCTATTATTGCTATAATATAACAGATTTATGCATAAATTTCAATACGGATTTGTTACTTTTAGTCACTACCACTTTTTTTCACGATTGTCCTAATTATCTTCTTCAAGCTAATTAATCATTAACTACCAATATTATTTTTTATACTGTATCTATTCAATTTATCTTAGTTTTACAAACACTTATTTACTAATAAAAAATGACCGGTCTGTCGCTGGAGCGTTAATCGAAAATCACAATTGAAAATTAATAGAAATCTCAGTGTAATTATTTCTTGGAGTTAAGATGTAATTAGATATACCAATTAAATTTTTAAGATATAGAAGCTTTTCTGTCTTTCGCGTCAAAAGCTCTTCACATGTAGATGATTAATTTCATTTTTATTAGTGATGTATCAAAAATGGAAAATATTAAGCGTGCTCTTCTCACTAAAGACCAATTGCATCGATTTATACATATTACTTTTGAACATCTAGAATGGATAGGAGATAAGTTGAAATAAGTAAAGAGAAAAAAATATAACGAGAATAGCAATTTAAGCCCTTGCCAAAACTCGAAGAAAACATTGTCTTTTATGCAGCAGAGAAGCTTTGCCAGAGGTTTGTGAGGGGCCTATACTCCTTCTGGCAAAGACACACTGGTAAAACGAGCAGCATAGGCGAATAACACGGCCAGTATTATAACAGAGTAGTTAGAGTAGAAGTTGAATGTCCAGTCGAAGCGCAGCTGCGCATAGTACTAACACCGCAACCTAGCCTCAAATAAAATCCACTCGGTGAATAGAGCACCACTGGCTCGGAAATCACAGCCACACAAACTGCCATGCTTCCCAGATCTATGAGCACAGCTCAGCGTATGAATTGTGTCTAGCGCTCAAGTTCGCGTGGCTTGCAGTTCAATTAGTAAGAATTAAGCTATAACTTTGTCAATTGATACTGAAGATACATGTTTACCTACAATGCAATACAAAGCTATCCTAGCGATGAATATTGACAGATCGTCATCGAGTTAGTTATGTCTGGCTGCGGCAATTAACAAGACAAGAAATCTGTGAACCGTTCATCTGCGATATCGGTCCATTGCTGCCAGCGCTCACATCGTGAGACCTGGAGTCCTACAGGAATCAACGCAGAGAGTGAGGAACATTTCAATGCCTACTTTTCGATAGTCCGGATTTTGTCATAAGTTCGACACCTGCCAGCAGCAGCCAATAAACGAGGACCATGATTTCTAACTGAAGGATTTATTGGAAAGAGGTAAATTTGAATGTAGGGACCTTTGGGATTCCTTTTCTGATTTGATACATAGTAAATAGTAGTTAGTTCTTTCTAAGGCGTTAGGCATCTTGATCTTGCGCTGAAATTTGGATCTCTTAATATTTTAAGTTTCATCTTTTGGGCTCTAGCGCATGTCTTATATGAGATTTTGGCCAGAGAGATCAATCCCTCTTCTTTTGGACCTCCGACACTATAAACCGAATCAATTGTATCTTGGTATTTTACAATTCCGCCTCCCCTTTCATTCAAATATATACAAATTGATCACATACTATTTTGGTAAGTTTGTGTGATTTCCTTTTGTAGGAAGCTCATGTTTTCTTCCCGAAGATTGATATGAAATACTTGCAGATCAGCACGAAGTGTTTCCTAATCAAATAATCTACATATCAAATGTTCTCAATTATTTGGAGTTCAATAAGGAGAAGGCGTTTAAGTAACTTAAACGGCCATAATTTTCAGAATTTGAATTCACAAAACTCACTTAGCCTTTGATACTTCAAAGTTGAAGGCTATCCAGGAAAAAGAAAACGGAAATGAGTGATGTAATTCCTTCCTTTGATTTCATCTGGCACTATGTTCTTATGAGTGAGATGTTAAGATAACTATACAGTGTCGGTGCATCATAGGATAAGCATCATCCACCATTTGGGATGGGCTTTATGAATGCCCCTTCACCTCTTAATGCTGAGTGCTACAAATGGAATTAAATTCTATATTTCTATTATTTATAAACATTTATGCATAAATTTTAATCATGTTACTTTTAGTATACACTTTTCCTTCCTAATTCTTTCACATTAATCATAACTACCAATATTATTATAGCATCTTTTATCTCTAGTTTTCAAATTTATACAATAAAATGGTTGCCTGATGTTAGAAAACACAATTTGAAAAATAATGAAATTCATTAATTATTCATTTGATTAGATGTAATTAGATACCAATATTAATTTTAAGCTTCATAAACTTTCTCAAAGCTCCTTCACATGTAATGATATCATTTTAAGTGTTATCAAAATGAAAATTAAGCCGTTCTCAAAGACCAATGCATGATTATACATATATTTTGAAATCTGAGATAGATAATTGAATAAGTAGAAAAAAAATAACGAGAACAGCATTTACCTGCCAAAAACTGAAGAAAACAATTCCTTTTATGCACAAGAACTTTGCCAGAGGTTTGTGAGGGGCTAACTCCTTCGCAAAGACATGGTAAAAGAGCACTAGCGAATACAGCGCCATTGAAACAGAGATGTTAAGTATGAAGTTGAATGTCCAGCGAAGCCAGCTCGGATAAAACCCAACTAGCTCAAATAAAATCATCAGAATAGAGCACACTGGCCGAATCACCACAAACTGCCATGTCCAGATCTTGAGAAGCTTCAGCGTATGATGTTCTAGCCTCAATTTCCGTGGCTGCATTTCAATTAGTAAGAAATTAAGCTATACTTGTCAATTGATACTGAAGAATAATGTTACCACAAGCAATAAAAAGCTATCTAGCGATGAATATTGACAATGTCATAGTTAGTTATGCTGGTGGATTAACATAAGAAATCTGTTAGACCGGTTCATTGGATCGGTCCAGCCGGTCCACGCGAGACCGGCCTAGGCGAAACCGAGGCGGAATGTACGCCTCTTTCGATAGCCGACCGCACCGCAAGCGCCAAACGAGCATTTTAAGAAGGATTTTTGGAGGGAAATTTGAATGTAGGGACCTTAGGAATTTCCTTTTGATTTGTATGCATTAAATAGTTTGTTTTCCTAGGGTTAGGCATCTTGAATTTGGCTGAAATTTGAGATCTCTTATATTTAAGTTTTCTTTTGGGCTCTAGCGATGTCTAGAGATTTGTGAGAGATCAATCTTCTTCTCGAACAAAGGATCAATTGTATCTTGGTATTTTACATTCCCCTTTCATCAAATAATACAAATTATCTACTATTTTGTAGTTTTGTGTGTATTTTTGTGTAGAAGCTCACTGTTTTCCGAAGATTGATATGAAATACTTGAGATCCACAAGTGTTTCCTATCAAAATCTAATATCAAGTTCAATTATTTGAGTTCAATAAGGAGAAGCGTTTAAGTAATTAAACGGCCATATTTCAGAATTTGAATTCACAAATTCACTAGCTTTGGATATTCAAGTTGAAGGCATACCAGGAAAAGAGAAACAGGAAATGAGTGATGTATCTCCCTTCCTTTGATTTCATCTGGCACTATGTTCTTACTGAGTGAGATGTTAAGATAACTATACATCAAAGCCAAGAATTTGGCAATTACCTGCAAATATAATAAAATTTATAAAATAAATTTTTTATAGCATGGAAAAGAAAATATTCTTACCAATGCCTCGTAGCACTCCTTAACGGAGTCCAAGAATGTGAAGAAGGCTTTGCTCCCCTGGATATCAAGGAGACCAACAAAGGAATCAATAGCATACAGAGGAGCCATGAGTATTATGATGATTATTGCCTTTTGTTCCTTTGGATTCTTCCAAAAGAAAAGATGTTGGGATAGAAGCTGCACAGTAAAATGCATCGTCAACATTACTCCGCCAGCTGCAGCCAGCAGAGTAAGAGTCCCTGGGTCCATCTTTGTCAAATCCATCCCTGGAAACATGATTCTCAATGGAAGCTCAATATCTGTAAAAGCAGCAGCTTTAGGGTAATCATAAATGGCATAATAATCAAATAAAATTGAATGACCTCAGTAAAGATACAACTTTAAAGGAACGAACATGTTTAGTTCTATATTGAAAAAAAGTTTGTGATGTGAAACTACAAGGAGTTATTTAGAAATTTAAAAGAAACGATTAAACTATTGCTCCTTATGAATTTAAAACTAGCACATAAAATTTGAACTAGGAATTTTAAAATATTAACTTGATTAGGCCAAAGAGATGCACTTGAGATTAACTAAAATAGTTCATTCAAAATCCAAGGGAATTAAATGCGAAGTACAAGTAACAAAACCCAACGTTTAACAACGAGAATTTCACCTTGGGGCCGTATCACTCAACGGTTGGTGGACTTTTGGCGGGGATAGAAGATCCAAGCGATGAAGGAAATTACCACTAGAGAAAGGGCGCCAACGAACCCCGTCGGAGGAAAAGTGGCCGGTGGGGAGGGATGACGTAGGTGGCCTTCGAGGCTCCAAGTGTGCTTTGAAAGCCGACGATCGTAGATGCTTGCAAGGATCGGGACAACTCTCTCCAAGTACTCCTCCACGGTGGTTTCGTCTTCAAATCCTACGTCGAAGCACGGTGACCGTAGGACATTTATACTTCCGTCGGCGTTGAAGACCAATCCCCACTCAAACTCCGGATCCGCCATTCAACATCGAAGTGGATGTTGAAGAGTATCTTCGTCTTCTCTTGATTCCAAAAGTTATGAGTATCCAACTTCTCCCCAAGGAGGATGGGAGAGAGGATCGGCCAAGGTGGGAGAAGGGGAGGGGCGGCGAGTTAGGGGAAGAGGAATTGGGTTTAGATAAGGGGAGAGGGAGAGATCTAACCAAATCTGAAATTATTTCAGATTTTGATTAATTTAGGAGAGAGGTTACTTAGAATTTGAATTTCAAACCTCATATGATCAATGCCATAAAGTGGCAATTATTGGGCATTAATCCCAATCAAGGCCGGCGGCCAATAGGAGAAGAATAAGGGATTAATTCCAATCCTGAAATTAATTTCAGGATTAAGTAAATTTAGAGGGGAAATTTATTTGAAAACAATTTGAATTTCAAATAGGAGTGGAGCTATATTAGGAAAAAACAAGGGGAAAGCCCATGAGAGGGGGCCGGCGGTCAATAGAGAGAGGGAGAGATTTGAAAACTTTAAAATCTCATGGGCCGGCGGTCAATAGAGAGAGGGAGAGATTTGAAAACTTTAAAATTGAAATTAGATTTCAGTTTTAAGTGAATTAGGAGGGAAAATTGATGTGAGTTAATTCCTCATTCAAAGGAAATCAATGCCTTAATGGAGCATTAATGGGGCTCCATCCAAGCATGAGGCCGGCGGCTTCTAGAGGGGGAATTTGGTGTGGGTGTAAGTGGGTGGCTTCCAAAATTGCATGCATGATGTTTGAAAGGGGTTAAAACAAAATCCATTTGAAATTGAAATTCGTCATGAGAACGAATTCAAAAACTTTCCTAATTTGGAAATTCTAAAATAGGAAAGATTTTGACATTCGAAATTCGAACTTCAAAATTTAGCTTCGAATGGAAGAGGAGATTGGGTCAATGGTTGGAAGATTTCCGGCCGGATGGTGGTGGTAGGATGGCCGGCGGCAAAGGGGGAAGTTGAGGTGGGCGGGTTGGAGAGAAAGAGGGGAAATCGGGTATGGGGGATAGACCACGAGCCACGGACTCTTCCAATGACTGGTGGGTGTTGCGTTTCGCCCTCACCTTGGGCTCTCACTCTCCTTTCTAACTCTCCATAAGAAGAAGAAGAAGACAAGGAATTCAAGACAAATTTCATTCATAAACTTCATTAGTCTATTACAAAGCATGAGACCCCTATAAATAGGTCTTCAAACATAAAGAAATAAAAGTACTCAAATGCCCCTTGGGCTACAATAATACATAACTCCCCACAGGGGTAAAATGGGAAAACAGTAAATAAAAAAGACAATAATAATAAAACACATCATGACATCTAAATCAGAAGTAGAGGCGCTAAATCGTGGCCGTCGATCTGCGGTTTCGCCGGCGATAAACATGTCGGTAGCGTCTGTCGATGTCCTCATCAGTTTGTCCCTTCGACTCCCTTCTTTTCGGACAAAATTCAGGTGGGAAATGCCAAAAATTTGGCAATTTAATAAACTAACCTCCAAGAAAAACAAATGAACCAACAAATTCATGTATTTGCATGTATCACGATCATTGAAAATTTAATGAAAAAAAAAATGTTGTGCGCTTTGAGATTTTGGTGGTATAATTATAAATATTAGTAACGGGTGTTAGTTTTACAAATTTTATAGGGGAAATTATCCAAAATTCAATAAAATTTTCCTCATTGTGATATGTCATGGATCGCTATACAACATATCAATTATGTTAGTTATAATGTATGGAAATCAATCATTCTCGCCGTGAGGAATGTCTAATATGAATTTTTCCTGTTTCCCAATGGATGTGTTTTGGCTGTGAGCAAGTTGAAGTGGGATATTTGACAAGGATTTGTGCTGAGGAGAGTGTGGAAGGGATAAGATGTTGGTTGTTGGATTTGTGGGTTGGAGATTCTTGTAATGAGGTAGTCAAACTCTTAATGTGGAAGTGTCACCAGGATCAAGAGAGATATGATAAACACAAAAGAGAACAGATAACACAAAAGGCACTAAGATTTGCATGGTCCAACTTCAACCAAGTCCATGTCAGCGAGAGTAAGAAGATAATTCAATCAATTAAAATAATAGCTAGAAGCAGGGTGCATAATAAGTACACTCAACTTCTTCTCCCAAACTCACTCACAAAAACTAAGCAGTCCCACAATTAAACTTGTGTGCAAGATTTCCAGACATGAAGCCTTCTTCTAACACGCACTAGTTTCGGCTTCACTTGGAGCAGCCTTTTAATTGTTTTTTTCCGTACGAGAAGTAGCCAATAAAAAATCGTGTCAACTTGGATGATAATTTTTTACACAGCTTTTCCAATTATTTGCCTTAGAAAAGTTGCTTTTAGGAAAATATAATTGAAACTATGGCCGGAAAATTAATTTTGAACATCAAATATAGAGAAGCAATAGCCACCCCAAACAAAGCCTTAGTCTCCACTCCAATCAAAGCCAAGTTGTTGACAGTACGAGTGCAAACAAGTTGCAAATAAATGAACAGAACTTTTTTCGAGTTTGATTTGTTGATGTTTTCATTATTCATCTTCAATTCATGTTTTTCTATATTTTTGTATCCAATTCAGTATTGTTTGACATGCTAACAACATAAATGAACACAACTAAATAGAGATTTTTATTATTTTTTTATTTAAAAAAAAAATTACTCCATAGAAGAACAAAACATAACGCCATATACAACTACTACACCATGGTTTAAATTTTGCATTATTTTCAAATAGAGATTTTTATTATTTAGAATAAAAAGAAAAAAAAATAAAAAAGATGTCACCATACAAGAACAGAACTTAACATCATATAAAATGACTACACCAAGGGTTTACTTTTTGCATTATTTTCACCAAAATATTTGCACATACATAATAGTTAATAATATTCATTTTAATAAACTTATAACACGTGAACAATGTTCGTTTGTGTTTGATCCATAAAGCAATCAAGCCTAAATATTAAGTTCATCTTTGTCTCATTAGTTAACAAACACGATAAAAATGAGTTACTTAACAAGCCAAACAAGACTTGTTCACAAACATTGAGCTACATGGACACTCCTAGGAGAGAGAGTATGTCATTAAGGAATGAGAGAGAATTTGATGTGAATCTAAATGCGGTTGCAAGAATTGCAATTTAAGAGATTAATAAAGGTTATGAACTTTGCATACTACCCATAAAAACTAGTTTCCTCAAGTAGTGGTTTTAGAAAATAGCATGGAAGATAACGCAATAGCAATAGATCACAATTGAGATTTATGAGAACTTGCAAAATTAATAATAAAAAATTTAGGTAATGCAAATAGCCAACTAAAACAAAGCCTCACATTTAAAATCTAGATCCTGCACCTTGAGATCCTTTAATCAACTCTTGAAAGTAGAGGCTAGCGGAAGAGGATTGTAAGCACACTTAGAGATACCACTATCACGCAAGTAATGCCGAGAGGACCAGTCGCCGGGGAAGAAACGGGAGTTGGGGAAGCGGGTGGTCGTCCAAGAAGAATCCACGGAGTTCTTGGTTGTTGAAGGTCGATGGTTTCGACAAGGCAATAAATGATACGGTTGACGTATCGTTCTACGGTGATGTCGTACTCCCAATCCAGCTCGTAGAAGGGGGAAAGGAAGATGTCGATCTCCCCTTGTTCGTTGTAGGCGAAGCCATGGTCAACTTTTGGATCCACCATGCATCCTTGTCGGTAGAAGAAGGAGCAACGACGGAGGCAAGGAGAAGAGGAGGGGTCGGCTAGGATGGGGAGGTCAAGAAGAATTTCAAAAAAAGACAAAAAAAATTTTGAAATAGTTTCAGATTTTAAAAAATTGGAGGGATTTGATTAGAAAATTCAAATCAATCCAAGGGAGGAGAGGGCGGCAATGGGGAGGGAATTGGGGAGGAATTAGTGGAGCTTTAATTGTAATTTGAGAAGAGAGGGAAAGCCAATAAGGGGGCCAGCCACATGTATAGGAAATAGAGGTTTGGTTTTAAATAAATGGGGCCCACACAATAATCAAAGGAATTATGAAAAATCTGAATTAAATTTCAGAATTTTGTAAGAAAGGAAAGTTTCCAAATAAGAGGGCTATCAATTAGGATTAATTTGAATTTCAAATTCAAATTGAAATTCAATTAATATGATAGCCTTAAATCAAGGAGCTATTTTAGGAAAGTCTTCAATACCTCTTGGGGAAAATTTGAATTTCAAATTTGAAATTCCCCAAGGAGGGAGGTCGGCGGCTAAAAGGAGGGGACGGGGCCAAGGGGCGGGGAGGATGGCCGGCGGGTGGTGGCTGCCAGGGAGCCGGCGGCCTGGACGGTCCAGTAGGGGGGCGGCGGCAAGGGAGTTTGGGAGGAGGAGAATTTCGGCTAGGTGGAGAAGAAAAATGGAGTCCCGGGAGAAAGAGAAGTTGCCGGATCTACAAACCTTGCACAACACCTCCAATAGAACTCACAAAGAGATCTACAAGCGCCTCCTCCTCAAGAACTCACAAAGAGATCTTGGAAGGTTCACGAACTCACAAAGAGATCAAAAGAGAAATTTCATTTAATAATTCATCAACTCCAAACTTACAATGCATGAGGCCTCATATAAGTAGGCCAAAATAAAATAAAAACTGAAATGACACAAATGCCCTCAGGGCTACATAAACGACTCAATACCCAAAGGGGAAAACTAGGAAACAAGAAATACAAGCATAAATAAAATGCAAATAAATCAGAAATAGAGGCTCTGGATCATAGCCGTCGATCTGCGTCTCCAGCGATGGTACACGTGTCGAAATCTGATGTCCTCATCAAAATTCATCTCAAATGAAACTCCTAAGAGGGTATGTCATAGAAGCCTCCAATGATTAGCTTTTAGCTTAAGAAACCCTAGAGGAACATCTCCTCATATAGCACTCAAGGCTTATACCCAAGGTGCATTACAAGCACGCTAACTTTGGGATTCTAAATTCCAAGATGCCTACACAAATCCTGATTTTCGAGATTTATATACATGACACCACTTCTAAAGCTTGCAAGTCTCTCAAGAAAAACTTCATGCATGTGAAGCCCTAAGTTTGATCTCTAATGCAACATGCCAAACAAGGGATTCTCAATTCATCTAATAGTCGCATATGTGATTAAGAATTTTATAGGAATTTACATTCAATATTGAGTTAAATACTAAAGAGATGGAAGTGTAGATTAAGAAATAATAAGGTGTGAGAATAATCTCTAGAGACCAAATTGAGAGTGGCCCGTTATGTTAACCTTTTAGTAAGTTTAACAACTAAATAAAGATGTTATGATTAATCCATAAGAAAGATGGTGACACAATATGCCCACCAATAAAGTATTCAAGTGGTATTGCCAACTACACAGTTTACCTATAATCATATCATTGTCATAGCAAATGTAACATGAACTCGGTTCTTCATTTCATGCATTCATTCAATTTTGCATCAAGTTCTTATAAGAATTGGTGATAAAGGGCCACCTTAAAGTTGTCCGTTTCGCATCATTTGAAAAAATGTTCCACTTTTGGTACAAGATTGATGCCTTTAAGGGGAAAAAAAAATCCAACTGCATCTGTTTTCCCCTCCCTAACAAAATTTAAAATTTACTTAATAGCTCCATATGATTTTTGTTTACAAGGCACCCAACTACATCTAAATCTCATTTTCTATCCGCTATTCAACCATCTTCCAACCCTGCACATACATAAAGTAAGTAATTGCCTTCCACATGGTTGAAAGAAGCATTAGGGGTGACAAAATATCTTCATATATAATGTTTGGCAAGAAAGAACAACCTCCATAACTTTTCTTTTCCTGTCAAGCTGAGTTATTAGTCATATCTTCCCACATTCTTAGGCTTCGGGATTCAATATGGAAGGATCAGAAAGAAATAAAAAGTCGAGTTCATAAATTTCACATTTTGCAATACACCTCCAAGCATTCTTTCCTTATAGACAGCCGTTTTCGTTTGAATATAGTCTACTATTTCTAATAACTGATCTAGCAAATCCTTCCTCTTAGAGTAGTATCTTCGTCCCAGAGAATAGCTAATAAAACTTTCCCCGAAAGCTTGCATACTTATTCCTTTTTTTGCATTTCTTCTCGTGCGATGGGGAAATTTCTACAATTCTTAGTATAGGTCCAGCATGTGAATAAACCTACAGGAAAAGAAAATAGAAGGATAATAACCTTCCTGTAAAGAAACTATAGCTCCACTGCAAATAAATTGAATCCTTAGGATAATTCTTAGCTGTTTAAAACGTACTAAACTCTTGAATCTATCTATATTCTTCACAATAATAGTGACACTTTCGTAACAGATATTTCTGTCAAAATGATGGGAAAAGTAATTACCAGTAAATTTCTCAATGTCAAATGCCGCCCACAAAGTATGTTAATCCTTCATACCAGAACCTCTTTGTTTTTGAGTGAAATTCTAAAGAACACTACATTTTCTGGTATCTTTAGTAATCAATATTTATATCAGCAATAAATCAAGGTACAAAAAATTGCACATCACCTTTTGACAGTTACAAAGCCATCGCCTATTTAAAATAATAAAATCTTTAACGTTCCTTGCATCATTCCAACAATACAGAACAATACATTATCCATTAGCCAGCGGCATATACAATGGAAATGCTAGGACAACATAACAAATTATGATGTTTTTATGATGTTTTTGTGTTTATTTTTTCAAAATGTATCATTTGCTGTAGTGGCACAGTCCAATGTCTAAGAAGTTTTGCTTTGTGCAACCAACCAACATTACTGCTTTTAAGGAAAGAAAAAAAACTCAAAAGCATTACACCAAAATCACCAAAGAGGATATATCGATGAGGAACTCAAAATTTTAAATTAATTGCTTTAAACCATGGACTCAGAACCTCATCTTCACAGTCTTCAGCCTCCATACGCATGCATCCCACGTACCATATGGAGTGAATCCTGGGATCATAATGCCATGTAAACGAACAACTTTCAAATATAAATCGGCCACATGAGTAGCATCAAGAGTTTTACTACATGGCACGAAGTGGGCCATTTTCAAGAATCGGTCAACTACTACCACTATCGAATCCTTGTTTCTTTGTGTCTGAGGCAGGCCGAGCACAAATCTAGGCTAACATCGATCCATGGCCCCTTCGGGAATGGGTAGAGGGGTGTATACTCCTAACTTCTGACCTTGAGTCTTGGCTAATTTGCAAATCCTGCATCAATTAATGAATCTGTCAACATCTCGTGTGAGAAGGGGCCAATAGAAATGTTCATTTAACAAAACAAGAGTTTTATCTCTCCCAAGTGGCCAGGTAAACCGACTTCATGGCATTCACTGATAATTGCAAGTTGAGTGGACCTTGGGCAATGCAAAGCCTGTTGTTGTAGAAGAGATGTTCATGTTGAATCTGATAGGATTGGTAAGGGCCATTTTGACATCGGGCCCATATGTTGCCGAGATCGGAAGATGCTTGGCGTAGCCATGATTCGCCATTGTGTACATTCAAAGTTTGTCTTAAGACCAGTAGTTTTCCATCATCGCCATGGAGGTATGTCAAATCAATGTTAGAGGATTCCACAACTAGATTGACCACCAGTTCTTCGACCACAGGGTCTTCAATCAGTGTTACAACCTAATGGTTTGGACAGTTAAAAACTATATGTCCAAACCACTGACACTTAAAACACTTGCGGGCATGAAAAGTGGCTTGGGGTTGCACCACATGAGAGGAATTACGTGAGTTTCTTTTTTCTTATAATCTATTATGGTCGACAGCATGTCTAGTCTGGCTTAACTGCTCCGACAAGGGCTTGTGAACAAAATTCTTGACAGTGGTTTTCATGAAGTGCCTCCGCTGTCTTCACAGCTAGATTGATTACATCTTAAAAGGTCCAATAAGGCTGGAGTTGTATAACATTGGCGATCAAGGGTTGTAACCCTCACAAGAATCCCTCCTAATCTCCCCCCAAGCTGCCTACGTGGACCTCACGTTTTTCCGCCCCGTCTGTTTTCTCCGCCTGGAGTAACAGTGGACCGGTCCGGGTTGGACCGGTCCAGCCGGCCCCTCCTGGGCCGGCGTAACAGGTTGCACCACATGAGAGGAATTACGTGAGTTTCTTTTTTCTTATAATCTATTGTGGTCGACAGCATGTCTAGTCTGGCTTAACTGCTCCGACAAGGGCTTGTGAACAAAATTCTTGACAGTGGTTTTCATGAAGTGCCTCCGCTGTCTTCACAGCTAGATTGATTACATCTTAAAAGGTCCAATAAGGCTGGAGTTGTATAACATTGGCGATCGAAGGTTGTAATCCTCACAAGAATATGGCGACGGTATGCTCTTCTGGTTCAATGGCATCACTTTAAGGATAGTTGTCTAAATTTAGCCATGTATTCTTCAACACTAGCGTAATAACTCAAATATGTGAAATAAATTTATTTGAAAAATATGAAAATTTTAAAGTAAAGTGCTTTAGTGCTGATCTGGTGAGCACTACGGCAATATATATATATATATATTCTTGTCTCACCCCACCGACTCCCTCACTTAGTTGCTTGGCTAGGAAGAAATTGAAAGAGGGGAGGAAGAGAAAGAAGAGATAAAGATCTTTGAATCATATTTATCAATCATTCATATTACAAATTTTGTTTTTTTTATTGTAAGTAACTAATCTCTTACTTATGTTTTTTATTATTTTAATTTCTACAAATTTCATCTCTCCTTAATCTGCCAAAAATACATTATCTCCTAATTTCATAAGCTTTCACCATGTAAGTTAAGATATGCTATAAATTTAATCATTTTGAACGATTTGATATGATTTAATTGTATTGTAAATAAAGTACTGAATGATATCAGATACATGATATGATAACTCCATATGATACCATACTGATCCACGTGATTCACTGATCGGGAGTCATAAGGAGCTGAAGATTGATTGAGAATTATAAGGAGTTGGGATGACTGATTCACATGATTTAAGAGGAGTTAAAAAAAAAGTATATTGATTGGGAGTTATATATGGCGACTAATTGAGAGTCATATGTGTAGGAGCAAAATACCCGTAAGATACACTCAATGAATATCTGAATAATGATACTGACACTGCTAAGAATACTATATTGATATTGTGATTAATACTAATATTATTTATTGTCATTAACATTATTTAAAGTTATTGATCATAATACTAATATTGTTACTGACATTAGTACTATTAACTGTTACTGAAACTGTGATTGATGATGTAATGGATTGAGATATGATGAACTATAGAAGAATAAATTAATACAGATAATCAGTATAAATATTGATGCATATAGTTCTTCATATGATTTATTGTATATTATTATCTTTTATCTTGCATTGATTTTAGATGTAAGATTTTAATTACTTGCTGGGCTATATGCTCAGTACAAGATTTTATATGTTTTCAAGAAAGGGTAATGATTATATGATACGATACACTGGAGAACATGCATAACTTTTCTACCTGCGATTCTAGAAAAAATGCAATCATATTTCTTTCCATTGTTCATTGGTAAGCTCTAGTTAAATAGTTAAAATGAAAAATAGATGTAATTCTTTCAATATAAATCCTAGAGTGTGACAAGTGGACTGATATTGTTGTAGTTGGGTAAATTTTAAGAACAGGTCTTATTTATATTGTTCAGGAATATACTTTTGCTGTAACTCTTGTTTCTTTTTCAGTCACATCACAATCTTGCTTTTCCCTTTGCAGCTCCTTGATATTTTCAAGTTTTCCCACCACACAGAGGCAGTTGTTTTTTAGTTTTATGGATACTAACTTGACGATTCGCTCAGCTAGTACCTCCTTGAATTCAAGAACGCGCTCAACCGACTGCAACAAGTTAATGAACTCGTCGGGATCCATTCTTCTATGAAAGTCAAGGAGATCAATCTTGATCCCACAATTTGATGGTGGTCTTCAGCCAACTCGTCTGTACATCGATCTTCCGGCTTCGTCTTCACTAGAGCTTTCTTGATAAAAGGGATAGACATATTTCTCTTCTTTGCATCGTGTTGTAGGTTCCCTCTATTCGAAACTCGCGAGGCGTTGCTGCAGTTGTGTGATCTCATACTGTAAATCCTCAATCATGGCTTCTTGAATCGGTCCTTTTTTATTCTGACAAGGTGATATCTTTGTTGGCTCTGATACTACTTGCACCGGACTAACCAGAGGAGTCACGACCTAGGTGGCGTGAACAGAAACCTCACAAGGAAACACAAGCAACCGAGAACTTCAAGAAAGGGAGAACACTCACAGGGATCCAAAACCACCACCTGACATCAGTTAGGATGCAGAGATGAACAAGAACTGCTCTTTGATTATCTTTCTTATCATCTACCAGAAAATCACAGGGGTTTATAAATACATCTCTTGGCTACTTAATTGGCCACAGAGTTAGCAGCTAAAACAAATAAAGGAAATCTGAATACACACTGAAGTTGAACGGAGAAAGAAATAAAATGTCTACACAGCACCAGCGTCAAATCTATAGTATTCTCGAAACTATAATCTATAGCATTCAGATTAGCGTTAAATTCTATCATAAGTCATAAACATTATACCCAACCTTTCAAAAGTCACAAAACGTCTTCCACTTCAGGGTTACAGAAGGCGTCACGAAAGCAAGACCTTCCGAGAACAACTGCACAAAATTGACTACTTATTCACTACCATGCGTCAAACTTCTGATAACTACTGAGATGAACTGAGAATCATACCATTCAAACTTAACACATAAACTTCCCATTTCTTTATAAACTGTGACATTTTTCTTAAACTCTCAGATCTATACTCGACATTGGGATCAGATCACTTAGATTTACCACACTTAAAAGGTACAGAAACAAAAAAAGAAAAAACGACGCCTCGTCCAAATAAAGCGCTAGAAAAGATCAGAAATACAGCTTATAAACTATATAAATATAGCTAGATCAGCAGAAACCATTGAAAACAAGCCATACCCATAAGCAAATTAAAACCTGCAGAAAGAAGAAAAACCCTAAGGTCACAAACTCGCGATAAATGAATTCGACTAATACCAAGCAAAATCAAACCATACCGAACAACCAGCAAGTCACGAAAGGATTCGAAGTTTCCAACTGCGCAGTATAGACGATCACAACGACCGGGGTGCTCACACTGGAAACACGGAGCCGAAAGTACAAGAAAAATTCCGCGAGATCTTATGATAAGCAGAGGCAAACGGCTGCTCTTTGATATTTCTATATTATTAACGAAAATTAATAGGCTAACTTGGGGGTGTCAAATACTCCAATATTTAACACTACACAAAAAATGCGTTATGAAAATTTTGGGTTATATCCAACACGTTTTCAAAACTGGTCGGATTCGGATTCCCGAATTTGACCCGTTTAAAAAATGGATCGGTTTCGGTTTGACCCGACGGGTTGCCGGGTCAACCTGGAAACGTGTTTAAAATGTCTGCCCGACTGACCGTGGACCGACCCTAACCTGCCCGCCCCCTGCCCAACTGCCCGCAGAGCTGTCCATCCCTACCCGCACCTTGCTCACGCGTGCCTGCAGTCAGCCGCCCGCCCGAGGCTGCCCTATGCGGCTGCCCAAACGCCTGCTACGGTTGCCCGCGCACGCGCTGCAACGCACCCAGCTGCGCACCCGCCAGCGTCCCGCACACCCGTCGCGCCGACATCTGCTCTCGACCGCGTCCGCGCTGGTCTCCTTCCCGTGTCTGGTCAGGTCAACCCGGCAACTTGCCGGGTCGGGTCCGGGTTCGAATATCCGACCCGTTTACCTACCCGGGTAAGGTTAGGGTCGACCCGATTGAACCCAGGTCAGTTCCGAATTTGACTCGAACCCCGATT